TGCAAGGGCATTCCGGGTCACATAACATTGCTCTTTGGAGGAGCACATCAGGTACGAAACAACTGAAAAACATGTCATAATGTTTCTTAGAGGGTCAAAATTTCTAACCCCAAATTCACAAAAACTTCTTCTTTGGGAAAAGCACAATATCGTGCCCTTCCCCGCCCTTATTAAGTATCGTGAACACCTTATCCTATTTGTCACTGCCAAAAGCTTCCCGTTGGACTCTATTGTATCAAAGTAAGACATCCGTTCATCAACACACTTTAGAAATGACCACCATGTGGGGTCAGCAGGAGCCATCAGGCATGCCATCGGCCACCTCTGTTACAACATAACCTATAAAATGGCCACGTGTGCAGGGGAGAGACAGATGGGTGGTGGGTGTGGGGCAGCCAGTCTGTGCCACTGCGGACCCCTTCCGCCATTGTAGCAGCAGATTTGGTTTGGACAGGGTGGCTACCGAGGGGTCAGTGTGGCTTTGTAGCGGTGACCGTTTGAGGTGGTGTCAAGGTCTATACCGCCACATCACAGAAGCTCCCCCACATCAGCATCCATCAGGAGGCAAGTAGAGGGAAGGGAAGTGGCCCCTTTGTCTAAAAAAGCTGCAGTAATGACCTCTGAACCCTGCCCCCTGACTCCCCACCCTCTCCTCAGTTCTCTAACCCCCCCAATCCATCTCAGTCCCCAGCCCTCTTGCATTTAACTAATACACTGTTGCCATGACAACAGTGACCTTTCACCTCCTTGCCCGGGCTCTTACATCTGTTATCAATTAAATGGACAGGAGCTTTTTCCCCACCCTCAGTTATATATATACACACACACACACACACACACACACACCCCTCTCTTTCACTCACACACAAAGGTGGTCTATAAAACATTGACTGAAAACCAGCTGTTCACTTTGGTGGCAAACTCCTTACCACTGTCCTAGTGATATCTGATTATTGGATATAAATATGATCAATCAATCTTGCATGAACCAATAAAACACCATCCAGTGTTGCATAATGAAATACGCTAGAGGGGAATGATATCTTATCAATGGATCAGTGTGGTCTAGGGAGAGTTATTGAACCACAACGGGCCTCCCAGGACTCTGAGGCGGTAATGATCTCTGTTCTCAAACAGACTACTCTCTGGCTCTAATCACAACTGACAGGAGGGTGAAGTTGATACACCTCTAACCTTGCACTACATTGATATTCAAAGAATTATCCAAAAATCAAGGCTTCCTTGGCTGTTTTGTTTTTCTTTCACTTGGAGGGATATTGTTGCATGGAATCCTTGAATCTCCATGAGAAATGTTTGATGAGTAAAGGTATTTGCAAATTGGTCGATGAGTTTATAGAAATATAAATAAATAAAAATCACAACTTTGCAGTATTGAGGAATGACAAGGCTATTCCTCTCAGAGAGTTGGTCACATTTTGTAAAAAAGTGCTAGAATAACCAATAAACTGTTTATGTTAATCAAATTGTGATTTGTTTAATTATTAGTTTGGTTTTGAAATTACAAATTCACATTGGTAGATGAGGTTTAGGAAGGGAGATAGAGCCAGTGGGTGTGAATTCACAAGGGGCCAGCAGATTTAAACAGTTATTGATCCAGGTCACACGTCAAGCCTGCTGGTGTGACCCTTGCTAGGGCTGGAGGTGGGGGTTGGGGTTGAGGGAGAGGAAGGAAAATTGGGAGAAACTAAAACACCATTGTATATCTGATCCAAACTGGACACAACAATGATAGTTTGTGGACTGCTGAGAAATAAAGCCTGTAAGGGTCACTAATGTAAAGGCACATAATCTGTTGCTGTCCAATGCAAACCATGTATCTCCAGATGTTTCTTTACAGCTTTAGAAAATTCTCATACTTCTAAGGCTAAATAAAAATATCCTCATTTTGGTGAGTTTGCATCCAGTGTAGCAGAGAGACAAAATAAGATTTGTGCCATTAAACAGACTCTCACAGAGGCAATCAAAATAATTATATGCTGTACTAATTTTCATAGTTTCCTTGACGCTGATATATTTCACACCACTCACTTTACAAGGAGCAAACATTTAAACGTCTTCTGTTCTTTCCCAGCCCATCTCTGCTTACCTATCTCCCTTTGAACGTCGCTTCTGGACCTTCTTGCCTTTTGGTCTCCTTTCACTGCCCACACAGTGGATGCCACCTGGTCCTGTAACACGCTGCGACTCCAGGCCCTTTGATGACTTTTTGAAGGTAAACTCGACTGCCTCGCCTTCCTTCAAGCTGCGGAAGCCTTCCATGTGCAGCTTGCTCTGAAAGGTGACACAGGAAGAGTGTTCAGCATCCAAATTATTGTTTGGGTGTTTGGGAAACTCCAGTTTTATGGTGACTTAATTCCTAATAGGTACGACAGGCAGAGTCAAACCACAAAGGGATGAATGAATGTTTTTTAATCTTGTTTTCCATCACAGACACACAGTGGGTAATTCTTAGTGGGATATATACTGTCTAGCAATAATTAGATTCTTCAAAACCTGCCATGTTACACAACCAGTGATCAAATCACCTCCACATTTGGCATGTGGATACTTTGACCCTTGAGAACAACCCCCACCTATTCTTCACTGTGTGATACCATCAGAGCCTGATAGCACTTATCAGGTATCTCGTATTTTAAGGTGATCATTTTGTCTCACCTGGTACACAAGCGCGCGCACACACACACACACACACACACACACTCTACAAAGCTTGCTGTTCCCACTCTGCTGATCAGTTTGTACGCACACTGCCCTGCATAAAAGGCACTGCTGCCTTAATGCTGTTTGTCTTTTTGAGTGGTAAATCTGACGAGGATAACCTTCAACCCCCTTCCAGAGGAACAGCATTCCACACTGTTGCCCCCACCCCGCACCACCCCATCCCTCTTCCCACCCACATCACAAAGCTCCACTGACACACTGACCACCACCACTAACCCTAAACTGCAGGATGCAGGGGTTAGTAATACGGTTGGGGGTGGGGTGAGAAGGCAGCATGGCTTCTCTGGGAGGTTGGGGGGTCAGGGAACATTCCTTGGATAGTTGTTTGGCAGAAAGACATACGGTAAATAAAAGATAAAATGTGAGGGAAAGCACAAATGATTGATATCTCCCTTTGATATCAGCTTGAATATGTGATGTTTTTTATGAAAGAAACATGATTTTATTTTGTAGCGTGTTTTACAAACACCAAACTTGGAGAGGCGTTTTAGCTGAAGTAGTCAACAATGGAGCAACAATGGAACTGGAGGTCTCAAATATGAGTAAACAGTAATGTTGGTTAGCTACATATTCACTGAATCTACACTGAACAAAACTATAAACGCAACACTTTTGTTTTTGCCCCCATTCATCATGAGCTGAACTCAACGATCTTACGATGTACACAAAAGGCCTATTTCTCGCAAATATATTCTCAGCAGATTTTGGTCCACTCCTCTTCATTGGCTATGCGAAGTAGCAGTCGGGTCAAGACCCCGATGAGGACAACGAGCATGCAGATGAGCCTCCCTGAGACGGTTCCTGACAGTTTGAGCAGAAATTCTTTGGTTATGCAAAACTGATGCACTGATGTTATAGCAGCTGTCCGGGTGGCTGGTCTCAGACGAGCCACCTCTTGAAGGTGAAGATGCTACATGTGGAGGTCCTGGGCTGGTGTGGATACACGTGTTCTGTGGTTGTGAGGTCGGTGGGATGTACTGCCAAATTCTCTGAAACGCCTTTGAAGACGGCTTTTGGTAGAGAAATGAACATTCAATTCACCAGCAAACAGCTCTGGTGGACATTCCTGCAGTCAGCATGCCAATTGCACACTCCCTAAAAACTTGCAACATCTGTAGCATCTGTGTGATCGACGTGCACATTTTCGAGTGGCCTTTTATTGTGGCCAGCCCAAGGCACACCTGTGTAATACCCATGCTGTCTGATCAGCATCTTGATATGCCACACCTGTGAGGTGGATGGATTATCTCGGCAAAGGAGAAGTGTTCACTAACACAGATTTTGACAGATTTGTGAACAATATTTGCGAGAAATAGGCCTTTTGTGTACATAGAGAAAGTCTTAGATCGTTGAGTTCAGCTCATGATGAATGGGGGCAAAAACAAAAGTGTTGCATGTATAATTTTGTTCAGTGTATGTTTCCCTTAAGTGACCTTTGTGGAGGTTCTTCTTGATCTTAGTGTCTTGCCAGAAACATTTCCGATTCCAGAGAAAAGACAAGGGAGATGAAGGCAGGGAAGGTGTGGTGCGGTTTTGAGAATAAAACCCAGAGATTGGCTAACACAACATGGGAAACCCCTCTCTAAAATTCCCTTGGTGCGACTGTGAGATTAACTTGTCACAACTATAGCAGACTGTTGACATAGAAAAAGATCCATGATGTAGCAGGTTTGTTTTCACAGACATTATCCAGTTTTTTTCTTTCTTTCATTTTTCAGTAAAGTCACATCCATCTGTTAATTAAGAACAACAGTCTGCCAATACCACCAGCAATCTGACTGAGCTTTTTCTTATTGTGAGGGTCCTCTTTAAACCACATCCAACAAAGGGATAATTTTAGACAGATTATCATTTAAAAGATACAAGTGGTAGATCTCCAAGACACAGCATCTAATTAAATCAACCATTAAGGACATTTAATGTTCTGAAAATTGTATTTGGAGTCATTACAAACACCTTCTGCAATTAAAAAACAAACAAACGCACCATCTTCTCTAATCCTGCAACACTGACTCACAGTTGAGCATCTGCTGCAAAGTCCTGATCAGCAGAATAACACGATTGGTGAGACATAATATTTGAGTGACAACATGGACGTCTGCAGAGCCCCAATCCCATCAGGCCTCTCTGGTGACCGTTAGCCCACTTCCTCTCCCATGTGTGGCCTTCCCCACCCCCAGAATGGACCCTCAGCAGCTACATGCCCACATCAGGTTATCCACACACACACATGCGCACGCACTCACGTACCAGTCAGGGTGGGGCCTTCAACTTCAAGGACCTGTTGTTGAGGCATTATAAGTAGGGTGTACTGTAAACTCTGTCCAGAATGTGTCTGGAAGCCAAGTGAGGCAGAGAAAGACATCAGAGCAGTGAGGGACAATAGCAGGACTGCTGCTGAGACAAAGAGGGGCTCGGTCACGGCCGAGGGGTGCTTCATTCGGATGCATGGCTCTATTGTCCACCTGCACAAAGGCCAGTGGACCCTGGGAGTTAATTTTCCTTGACACATGGCCACTAATTTTAGGGCTGAGGCCTTTTACATTGCCATAAGCCCTACACATCCATCATTGGCATACGTATGTCTACCTTTTTCTAGTGAAAGAGAAGGAAGTAAGCCATTGGTTACGCATTTCTTGTGGATAAAGTGAGGGCACAGTGTGAGGTTGGTAGGTCTGCAACTAACGATTATTTCATCATCGATTAATCTAATCGATTAGTTGTTTGGTCCATAAAATATCTGGTGAGAAATGTTTATCACCGTTTCCCTAAGCTTAAGATCATGTCCTCAAATTTCTTGTTTTGTCCACAACCCAAACATATTCTGTTTATTGTCATAGAGGTGGAAAGAAAACAGAAAATATACAGTTAAGAAGCTGGAATCAGAGAAATTTTAAATGACTCAAATTGATTAATTAAATTGGCACTGGACTGGATTCTTTTAAATGGCATATAATGGCAGTTGGGATTATACTTCTAGTAAAACCACCCATCCCTTTCCATCATCTTTTAAATGTCTAACTACTAGAGCACCAAGCTGTAAGTTTCTATCCCCAATTGAACTGATGTTTTGGATTTGCAAAATGATTAGTCAGGTACCAACTTCCTGTGTATAGTCAAACAATATTTCAGTTACAACGGTTGCATGGAACAATGAAATCTCTCTCTATATGCATCATCATATGCAGAAGGCAGGCCACTGAAAACCAGAAGCGAGTAAGAGCTGCTTGAGTCTGCAAACTGACTTCAACCAAGTGCGGAACCTGAAAGTTTTTCAGAGTAAAACATGGGAGATAAACCTACTTATATGGATGTATTTATAGTAAATAAATAGTAAATGCATTTTGGTAGAAAAATCTCTCCACAGCATGAGGCCTTGGATTGTGGGGTGGCATGATATAGACAAGGAAATGTACCTTAAAATAAAACCTGAGACATCCCTTCCTTTTTAAAGCTAGTATAACACAGTGCCACACACACAGAGGGGGATGAGTAGACAGCAAAGAGCCTTTAATCACTTTATGACAGGAACCTTGAGGTGAATGAGCAGCTAGTGGGGACTCCTCTCATTCACATGCTAAGCCTTTATCTTATCACACAGCAATGGAGGCGCTCACTCACACAAGAAATAGGAGGGAAATGCACCCCCACCTCCATACCTCCCACTTCACCAGTTGTATCTAAAAAAGATGAATGAAGATTTTGGTTAAGACAGTTTTCTTTGATCTCTTCAGACTGAGAAAGTAAAGATAAAACCGCAAGTATAGAGTGAAAAAACGTGTCTGAGTAGGCTACTACTAGTAATACTCATTGCAAACTTACATAAATATAGCCTACAGTATGTCAAGTGGTTGTGTTGTATTAAGCCAAGCGAAACAAGTACAGACAAGAAATCAATCAAAATCATGATTATTGCCTGAAATTGTATAGTGTTAAGCATATTTAACCTTAAAAAGAAGTGATCAATAATTTCTGTTTAGATGGTTTCCCTTCACTGTCAATCTATGATCCTAAACTAAAAATAATTTTAAAGGCATTCGTCATCAGATGCGATTAGAAATGGCTAAATCTGACATCCACTCGTCATATTCAAACAAAAACATAAGTGAACAATATGGAGACTTCAAACAGCTTCAGAAGAGGATTAATTAGCTACACGTTTCCTCCTCCTTAAAAAGTAGCCTACTAGTTTTCATGCAGCTTATACAGCACTCACTGTGATTTATAATCATCTTTAAGCATGGATGTCAAGTATTAAAAGTGCGTTAGCTCTAACCACACTCCATCACATTACATCAGTTTCCCACGAGGGAGGCCCCGCAGCTCTCCTTTGGCTGCAACACGTGTTCCCCTGAGGGAGAAACACACGCTGCAAAAAAACAACAACTAATCCATCTAAACCAGTTAAACATATCACACTATCTTAACTTTAATCAAACATAAAACGCATGCTCATGGAGTGTTAGTTCCCTTGTTTTGTTCAACGCACTTTATAATTTTATTCGGGTCTCTTATACTGAGATATTTCCAGTTTCGAATTTACTTACTAAGCTGAAGAAAAAAAAAAAAATTAATTATGCTGCATTGGAAACAGGTGGGATGATCTAATTCGTGCTGGTAAGTAGGCTACATATCTAGGAGATTTTGATGCTTTCGCGGTGTTGAGAGGCATGGGTCCTTTCGCGTTTAGAAGAAACAATCAGTGTTTTTGTACGTAGATCGTATCACTTTCAGCCCGCGAGCAGATAGTAGGCTAAATCCTACCTGATGCACAAACACGTCAAGCGGTTCCTCCAGTGGCACTCCCTCCCGGTTGGTCATGGACAGGAACCCGAAGCCCATGCGGACGTTGAACCATTTACACACTCCGACTCCGTGGAAAGACTGTGTATCCTCCTCGGTACTCGGTCCTTCATCCTCCTCAGTCTTACACACTCCTGCAATGAAAAGGTATACCTACTTACAAAAATAAAAAATAAAATCCGTATATAGCCCTACTGTTGAAAATGTGATTTTTTTTGCATACAGTGTATCCCCCCAAAAGCGCAACACTTCAAGAAGGTTTTTTAAAAAACTTTTCCTTCTCTCGCATTGCTGCATCAATGAAATTAACACACCAGTAACAATCTCAGCCTGTGTTTTGCCTTAATTCCGGATAAAGGTATCACACATTTTACGCTCTTCTTTCTAAACGAGTCAGCCACGAGTGTGCGCAAAATAAGTGCTCTTGGGGGGTTGCATGATGTCAGAATTTCTAAAGAGCGATTAATGCATTGATAGACACACGGATTGCACATCACGTGTGCGAACAATGCCTTAAAATGTCCCGTTACAATCAGATAGACAGCCCATCAGAAGACAACTTGATCGAGAACATTTTAAAAAGCAAAAGGCAACTTATTTTGTTACTCAACCTGGGAATGCTTGGTTAGAAACGGAGCCCATGTCTTCAGTTCTGCCTTGAGTCAAAATTAGCACCCAAGCTACAGTATCCTTTTTTTTCAGCCCTCAAGCTGGGTAATCCTCACAGATTGCCACTTTCATGCAAAATGCTGTGAAAAGCAGAAACTGCGCAGCGAGAGGGAAAGCGGAGAGGGAGGTAAACAAAAGGGGGCTGGTAACCTATTCCCCCTAAACAATGAGGTGGGGGGTGGGGGTCACCGGGCAAAATTTTTGCTGAAGAACCCCCCCCCCCCCCCAAAAACAAAATCTAAAATACAATGAAAGACACCCTAGCCCCTTCAGGAACCATTCAACCACTCCCAGATATTGGCTTACTCCACAAAAGCTCCTAACATACCTTCTGCCATGTTTGTGGGCCCGTTTACTCCCAGCGTACTGCTGCCTGTGTCCTCCTTTGCTTGAAACGCGTTTTCCACTCTCTCTCCTCCAGTGGTCAGCTCTGTTGGTCAATACAAATGACCATTTCTCATCCAACAAACCCCCCACACTCTCGGTCATGTCCACGTGATTCACAATCATACTCCCCAAAGGACATATTACATATTGTGTGATGGAAGGGCCCAAATGCGGGATGTGACCAATCACCTCTAACGAAGAATCCTCACAAAATCTTATGATATATCCATTCAGACTAATATGATACTCGCAGTAAGTTCAGTGACTTCAATCATTTACAATTACGTTAAATAATACTTTCGCATGTAAATATAAGTTTTTTTTATTTGCAGGACTTTGAAATGTGCTTTTATATTTTTCAAAGCCCACTGCCCTATCCAAAAAGGGTTTTAATTATGACATTAAAGGACCTGATGTCCTTAAAATTGGATCACAATTGTTACACAAGATGGGGGTGACAACAGTGAGGAAATAAACCTGAAGTGCCTGTTTTTAAAACATCCAGTTGGACGGGTTTAAGTGAATTTGGTTTAATTTGGGTGTTTTTAATTATGAGTCTATATTTTAATGAGACATTGCTAAGATTTATTGTAGCCTACTCCATGTCATCTCACATTTTGTCTGGTCATGTGTACATTCGTTTCCGTGCGTTCAGTGGGTTTGCTGCTTGCTGTCCTAACATGCCAAAGAAAGGATTTTAATGGCAGGCTAATCCAGATGAAACATTCAGGGGCGAGTGTTTTCTTCCCATGCAGCAGTCAATCTGAGTCAAACAACCGAGGTGGAGAGTCACAATGAAGAAGAAAACGAAAGCGGAGTTGAACTAAACAAACGGACTCGGAGCCAGTTTTTTTTAAACAGCCCACAATATGTGGCATCATGAAAACAAGCCAAGCTGGTCAAACGAATTCACGGATCGATAGTGATTGATCACATCATGTAAAGACGTTGACTCCTGTCTTTGTGGAATGATGGATGAATCAAGTACAGAGGAAACGATCTTTTAAGATTTAAATTCGAAGAGTCCAAAGCCTAAATAACAAATAATAATAATAATAATAATAACTTGAATATTTTACAAGGATGAATCGAAACGAAATAATAAAAACAACAAGGCAGCATAAAAACATAATGTATGCTACATGTGATTGTCAACATAATAGGTCTAAAGAAAAAGTTATACTAAAATATAGTTCATAAAGTTATACTAAAAAGGTAAAAATAAATAAATAAATAATACGTTATGATTATACAAACAAACTTCTAAAGAATAAACCACAAATCTATATGTATGCCTATATATTTGAATTAATAGTTTAGCTTAGATGTGTGTGAGGGAGAAACATTTATTAGGCTTAACATGAATTCATTTCCTTTTATAATAATAAGAATAATAAGAATATATTATTATTATTATTATTAACTATTTTGGATGTTTTGATGGACGGAAGCACCACTCCGCCTCCGTTTATAAAACGCCTGATGGTTTATAGGAAACCTGTCAGTTTCATCACAACTTCCACAACGACCCCTTGTGGCCCTCTATAGGCTGTAGCCTATCTCTGTATGTCCATTTTACTATAACCTACTTCTGACGTTTGAAACTTATTTCGGACGAGTATCTGAAATGGGCCTAGCCTACGCTTTAGGCCTAACTAAAGAGTATGACGAAAGAAATTGCTTGTGTTGTATTGTTGGTGCAATTGGAGATAATATAGACAATATAGGGTAATGGTGATGGAACATCTGCTTTAAATTGGCGCAAAATGTTTTACTGAGCTTTTTAAAATAGACAGTACTAATAGACATTTTATTAAGGCCTACTCCTGTTTGCTTTAATATTATAGTGTCAGAATTTCCTTCTAAAGCTGAATCTTCACGCCACCATATAACAAAATTCAGAAAATAGCCTACTGGGTTGCCAGCATACTAGAAAGCAATGTGCTCTACAATGAGAGGATGAAGTTTCTTGGACAACTATAGGCTATATCAGTTTATGCCTAGCCCGACAAACTGTTTACAGGCTGTCTCCTGTTCTTACTGTACCAGGTGCTCTATTACATCAATTTATCCAGTAGCCCACTTTTTTTAAACTAACATTTTATTTCCTTTAGGCTACCTGAGTGAAAGTAAGCCGCGGGGAGTCCCTTTTGACGACATGTTGCTTTATAATAGCCTAAACCTTCATTTCACATAAAGCCGGTAGCCACACTTCACTCATTAAATTGTACATCCCAACATCTAGACAGTTATGGCGTCATAATTTCCGACACTACTGAAGGAAGCATGGCTACTTCCCCTTGTGTTTTGTAAATGGCCACTAAGTGTCAGTATAACTCTGAAATCACCGTGCGGGGCAAGCCTCGGTCTGACAAACAGACGAGTTTTAAAACAGTTGACGGGTAGCTGTGTCTCCAGCTAAGAGATTTGACTCACAGTGATGAGTCATGGCGATGGCGCTTCTGAAATAATGGCACAATGAATCTTTGTAGCTGATATGCGGACATAGGCATCTATATTCATATGATGCTATTTTCCCATAAACGTTATCTTTCTGTCTGCGCAAGGCTCCGCAGCAATGCACGCACAAATGGACAAAACAGAGATCAGACGGGTCCCGCCTCTTTTGATATCCAAACGGACAGTGTGAAGGAGAAACCAACCAACCACGGAGGCTGGAAAACCCCTCAGGACACCATCACCGCAGAACATCACTCGAGCATCTCGACGCCGGTCATCTGTCCGGTGGATGGATCAGCTTCTGGGCGGGACGCGGCAGCCAGCTGGAGGAGTAATCCCAGAGAGTGACAGTTTGGAGATCAGTAAGTGAAACATCTCGATGGGAACAACATTGAAAACGCCATGTTACAGTATTACGAAATTTCAAGTTGTAAGGGAGACTGAATAAACTCTGTTATTCCAAATGTATGGAGCAATTTGGGAAGTGAGTTTCTCTTCACAGGCAACAATACAAAGCTCGGCAGAATGCAAAACACGAGGCTGCAGAAGAAAGTAAAATATCTGAATGCCAGACAACTGCTTCAGGTAGTCTGCTGCGATTGGACTGCAACCATGTAGCTACGTTTTAAGTTATGAATTCACAAGAATATGCCATTTGCAGATGGACACTTTGAAAAGTAGCACGTAGGTTGTGAGGTGAACTCTCCGTGCGGGGAGAGCAGAGACAGGACAGAGAGAGGTTTATTTGCGCTCCTGGTTCCGTCCACGCTGTTTGCAGCTTCCGCCACTCCAACCAAACATGGTAAGACTACGGAGGAAGGCTTGCATCGCTCTGTTTCTCTTTACGCTGTTCGTCTTTGGGACCATGATGGGGCTAAGGACCCTGAAGCCCAGTGACGGCTTCTCGGATTTGGCTCCGGGCTTGGATATCCTGCCGATGATAGGGGGCAAGATGGACCGGCGCTCCGTGTCCCGTGATGCCACCGCGTCCCCGGGTCAAGCCCGCCCGGCTGGCAGCAACACCAAAGCAATTTTGTCCAACTCCGGCCCACAGGGGACCATATTTTACGATGTTCACATATTTTACTACATCTGGTACGGCAACCCACACATGGACGGCAAATACATTCATTGGGACCACATCCTGGTCCCACACTGGGACCCCAAAATCGCGTCCAGCTACCCGAGAGGGAGACACATCCCGCCCGAGGACATCGGCTCCAGTTTCTACCCCGAACTCAATCCGTACAGCTCGAGGGACCCGGACGTGTTGGAGTCCCACATGGAGCAGATCGGAGCATCTGCAGCAGGTACAGTTCAATGATACAACGGGGAACCCTTGATTTTTTAGAAGAGAGATAGAAAAAAAGAGCTGTGCTGTTTTAGTGCTGAGCATCTGCAAGGAAATCTGGCCTCAGTAAGCTCAAAGTTTCACAGCTTTGCTTGAGGGGCACAAAATATTTTCAGCACCTCACATTCACTGGACAGCTCCCCACACGCTCAGCTCAAAGTCTCCGAATATCTGCTGCTGCGCATTTTCCTGCAGCACAGAGAGCGAAACTTATGACTTTAAAAGCTACAGTGATCAAGAGATAAACTTCTTAAGTCTACATTATGAGTAGAATACCTTCCTGCATCACACTTTAAATTGATTCAGTACTTATTAGTTAGTTTAATGTGTTTTTTCAACACACCCATGTCCCTTAGGACTTAAGTTGAAATCAATATCAAGCTATACATAGACCTATTTTTAATAATAATAATAATAATAATAATATGGAAAAACCCGAATTTAAAATGATCAATGTGATGTTTAATGCAATAGACTGTTTCACTTATATGCTTTTCAAGCACAGTCAAATGGTAATATTTTTGTAACTTAATTTAATCAGGTAGTCTCTTTGAGCTCTAGTTCTCCTTTTCATGAGACCACCTGTGAACAAAACATTTACAGTCAGACAACCAGCATTCAAGAAACCCATCCAAAGCGACAAATAGATTTAATAAAAATGATGGCAAAAGTCATAAAATGCATCTGATGATAAGTCTTAAAATCTCCAATCTTCGTCTGAGTTTAAAATGTGTGTAATCTTCTAAGGTTACGTTGGAGTGTGTGCTGCAGTTAAAAGGTTTAAGTAAAAGAAGAGATTCACATTATTAAATTATCACCCAGCTCTAATGTCCTTTATGTCTATTCTGAGAACTTCTGGCGTAGACCAGTTTTTGGTCATTTCATTAAATATTAAAAGGATGTTGTCTTTTTAAAAACTTGTATGGCTTC